GGTTCAAACTAAATCCTCAAGCGTTGATGGGAGGCTCAGCTACAGGTCAGGGGGAAAGTCGATCAGCGGAGCAGCAGGAGGCGCGGGGCAGAAGAGCAGGAGGCTCAGGAGCAGCTGGAGGGAGACCAGGGCTCTGGTTTCCGCCAACCCTTCTGTCTGGGCGCTGCCTAAGCCACCCTGGGGCTTTATACTCCCTCTCCACCAATCCCCTGCCTTGGTACGTGGTGCCTCACAGTGGACATTTCAGGTGTCCGCGTGTTCTTCCAACGCCCTCTTCCCCACCTGAGCCCCACAACCGGCATCCCAAGGACAGGTCCTCTCTGGAACCTTTGCAGACCTTCTGATTTCTGGTCTTCCCCAACTCAGCTTCCTGTCCCTGCTTCTGGGCCGCTCCTTCCTTCTTGAGCTCTCAGAGTTCCTCATGGTCAATCCTGGCTGCAAAAGATGATAAATGAATGATGGCAGGAAGGCAGGAAGAACCTCATAGACAAGCAGCGTGGGAGGCTCCACAGCCCCCTCTCAGCAATGCATGTACTAAGCAAGAAAAACCAGTAGGATGTAGAAGGTCCCAATAGTAAGCCATTTCCATCACATCCAGGTAGCCATCCATCCATCATCCTTGTATGTTGGGAATAAGTGTTGGAGATACATTCACTTTAAGCACACACGGTACATTTACAAAATTTAACCCTACTTATTTTGTTGATCAAGCAAATCTCAACCTATTTCAGAGAAATCAAATCACATAGCATGTTTCTGATCATACAACCGGGCTAGAAGTCAATGATAAAAAGCTAACCACAAATTCTCACATGCTTGGAAATTCAAAGTGCCCTTATAAGTAAGATACGAATATAAGAAATAATCCAAAATGAAACAAGACTGCCTTTGCCCTCAATGATAAGATGATAATATGGCAATAAAATGTCTCCATCTGGCCTGGGAATTCTACTTTGTGGCACAAGGTTGTGTGGTCTTAAATCATCCCTAATCCACCTAGACATTTTAACATCTGAAACGGGGTAATGATGTCACTTATCTATGCCATCTTACTGCCTGTGAGCGTGGACTTTAAATTTTGAACCCTAATGAGGGGAAGAAAACCAAGCTGACTCTCATGATTGACCTCCCGGAGATGTCAATCAGCTTCATCAGCTTCTGTCATCAGCTTCTCTCCTGGGGGATTTGGCCATAATACCCAGAGGGCTTGGCAGCACCAGGAGTGATGGATGGGGAGTGTCAAGCAGGTGGGCAGGACCCAGGGGCCTGGTGACCAGGAGAGACACCCCAACTGGCCATCAGCTTTCCTGGCCTTGTCCTCAGCTAAATGTCCCAAAGGCCTTCTTCTGCCTGATCACACAGAGTGCGACCAAACTCACTCAGGCCTCTGGCAGCCTAAAACCACTGCTCTAAATCCCTTCACCATTTATGATGACATGAAGTTATTGTAAACAGGATATATTCTAACATTGTTGTAAATGGAAAGCCAGTGCCTTTACCATAAATAAAAAGAAACCCTAAGAAACAAGCAAAACAAAACAAAAACAGGGACAACAAAACAATGGAATTAAATTCTATTTGTGTGCTGTCATCGGCATAAAGAGCCCCGGATTTGAGTTGTCTCGGTTGTAAAAGGAAAGACCAAGTAAGGGAAGTTGAAGTCAGATTAGCCCAAAAGTGAAGGGGAGACCCGTAATGCCCATGAAGTGTTGCGGGGTCACCTTGATTATAGCCCAAGCAGAGAGAGGGAAGGGAAGGGAAGGAGAAGCGAACGGTTTGGGCCCTCCGACAAGAAGTCACTCATGTAGCCCAGGAAACACCTCCTCAAAGCCAGAGTCAACCTCCCTTGTAGGTGGGCCCGTTTTGGTCCCTTGGAGGCTTGACCAGGAGCCCTTGGCAGGACGAGGCACCTTGGTTGTGAGACCAGTTTTGCTGGTGACCAGCTGAGCAACCCTGGGCTGGATTCCTTCTGTACAACTGGAGAGCTAATGCCTGTGTGCAAAGACTGTCAGAAGACAGCAGGAAGTGGTTGAGCAGCTGTGTACCTGAGCATTGTAACCGCCCAGGGGCATCTTTCTTCCCAGAACTGGCACCCTGGGAGGTCCTTGGCCACTAAAGGCAGTGATGATGATAACCACAGCCCCTCTTGTCACCACTGTGCTAAGCACAGCACTTCGCAGGTGTCATCTCCTGAGATCCTGAAGTACCATCACTGTCCCCTTGCACAGATGGGGATCTAGGTTCAGAGTGGTTGGGGGGCGGGGGAATCCAGGCAGAGAAACAGATCTGGGGGAACTTGATTCTTGGAGGGAACATTAAGAGAAGGGGAAGCTGGGGCTGGAGACTCCCCAGGAAAATGGGGCCACAGAGATGCTTTGCCCAGGACCCAGCGTTGCCCTGGTCAGCCCTGCTCAGATGAGGCCCAAGCAGGTGGCTGTGTTCCCAGCCCAGTGCCTCCACCTGTGAGTGAGCGTCAGTCATTGCGGTGATGATGGCGATATAGAATGTTCCTCATAGCATTATTGTGAGGCAGAGAGCACCAGCCCACTCAGGCACAGGACATGGTCCTGGGGGCGCATCTGTCTTTCTCTCTTGACCTCTAGATCTCCTAAGCACCATGCAACACCCCCACTCTAAGCATACCCAGACAGGGTCCCCGGCCCAACCTTGTGCCCCTGTTCCCAGAGTCACCCAACCCTGGCCTCTCTCTGGCATCTCAGGGCCCAGGCACAGCCCTTCTGTAGGCCCTGGAAGGGGCACATAGCCAGCCCTGGGTTTGAAACCTGGAAAATACCTTCTTCCAAGAGAGCTCAGAAGGGCCAGGTCATGCCTGGGTCTGTTCTCTCCACTGGCGCCAGGAGTGCCCTCCGGAGTGCCACCTCTGGTTGTACTGTGGGCTGGGGTCTGGGAGTGTGTGCATGTTTTGGTGTGTAAATCTGCATGTAAGCGTCTGTGCATCTGAGTGCCTGTGTCTGTGATTATGTCTCTGTGTAGCTGTCTCTGGATGGCTCTGTGTTTTTCTCTATCTTTGTGGGCATTTGGGTGTCCTTTCTTCCTGAATGAGTGTGTGTTGGCTGTGCAAATCTATGTTTATCTTTCTGATTCTGTAATGTGTGTGTCTCTGGCATGTGTGCCCCCTGTGGGAGTGCCGGTGTATGTCTGGCTTCTGTATCTTTGTATATGTGTTGAGGTGTGTGCATGTGAATTTGCTTCTCCTTTGGGTGTCCCTGATTGTGTATGTGTGTGTTTATGTTTCTTGTAGTGTCTGTGTTCTATGTCTGATTCTCTGCCTGTAGGTCTGTGCCAGTGTGTGTGTGTCTGCGTGTGTGCGTGCGCACGTGGGTGTCCATTGTGTGTAGAGTCAGCCCTGTGGGGCTGTGTCTCATGGTCCTGTGTGTGTATCTGTGTCCTCCTGGTGTGTGTGTGTGTGTGCCTGTCCATGGGCCATACTCCTGAGTGCCCAGGTGAAGCTGGGGCGGTTCTGTGCCTCTGTGTCTCTGTTCTTATAGTATCTGTTTATTTCCCTGTGAGTTCCTGGGTTTGTGCACCTCGGAAGTTGGCAGTCACAGAGAGGCCTCTCTGATGCTGACCTCCAGAGGTGGGTGAGAAGTGGACAGTATGTGCTTCTCTCATCCCCAGGCTGGGCCTTTTCTGCCCCCTGCTTTTCTGAGCCTCTGGTGGCCCCCTGGTAGTCCCCCTTAGGTCCCAAGGAAGGATGGCATGAAAGAGTCAGGTCACAGGACTGTGACCAGGGGTGTGAGAAGGACTCTGGGTGCCCGGAGAGGGTTATGTTGAAAGAAGGAAGATTGTCTGTGGTGGGTGGATTCTGGGTTGGAGGGAACCTGGGCCTTGGGAGGGTGAATGAGTGGGGTCCTCTAGGAAGGGCTCAGGGACAGACCTCCTGGGTCACTGGGAAGTTCTGATGTGTAGGTGCCTACAGGGGATACCTAGGGGCAGGGCTCCTAGGCCCTGGGCAGGGCTAGAAGAGTGTTGGGTGCCCAGAGGCTGGGGCCCTCACTCACACATGCCAGGTTTAGGTTGGGGCACATGTGCACATGGGCATTTTTGGGGGACACGAAGGACCATTGGGTAGGGGAGGCAGAGGTGGTCTGGCAGGCAAGTATAGTCCCCAAGCCAAGGCTGACCACCCTGGACATCTGGCTGCCCCGGCCTTCTGGGGACCTCGCTCCAGGGCACAGGCAGGTGCCTGGGAGCCACATGGGGCACACCTCCTGGACCCCTGTGTCCCGGCCATTGAATGGTGCTTAGGGCTACCCTGAGAAGCTGGTGCCAGGAGGGAGAATCTGGTCCCAAGATATTTCAGGTTGTGGATTAGGGAGAATTACAGGGGGAGGGCACTTAACACAGGTTCATTCCCAGAATAAATGCTCCACACAGGGTATTGTCGAAATTAGTATTTTATTACCTGCAACTCCAATCTGAGTACTCACCTGGGAAATTCTAAAGACACAGAGAGGACTTGGAGGAAGCAGAATAACTGAATACAATTTAAAAGAACAAAAACAGGCCGGATGCGGTGGCTCACTCCTGAAATCCCAGCATTTTGGAAGGCTGAGGCGCGGGGATCACCTGAGGCCAGGAGTTCAAGACCAGCCAGGCCAACATGGTGAAACTCTATTTCTACTAAAAATACAACAATTAGCTGGGCTTGGTGATGGACACCTGTAGTCCCAGCTACTCAAGAGGCTGAGATGGGAGAAGGGCTTGAACCCGGGAGGCAGAGGTTGCAGTGAGCCAAGATTGTGCCACTGCACTCTAGGCTGGGTAACAAGAATGAAACTCTGTCTCAAAAAAACAAAAAAAAGAAAAGAAAAGAAAAAGAAAAAGAAAAACATTGGAAATGTGGCACTCCTGATACTTTTCCAAATCAACCCTCTCAGTGTCCCATCATCACTCCGCCCTAGTGGGGAGACTGAAGTGGCCAGGGATTTGCCCAAGGTGCACAGTGGGTTCCAAGTTCACTGCTGATTACATCTGACCAAGCTCCTTTTCTGAAGTTCACTTTGTTTAATCTTTCCAGTGACGGTTTTCAGCAGCTCCGGGACAAACTCCACCTGGTTAAGTATAAGGGAAATCCACAGTGACTTAGTCCTGTTGTCATATCCTACCAATTCCCCACCCTCCTCCCCTGCCCCTCTACAGTCTCCCACATAGGCTGACACCATATGGTGGCCTTAATGGAAGCCACTGAGTGTGTCAGGTTCTCCCCTTGGCCCCCTGAAGGTGGATGTAGCCATGTGCTGTGACTCAGGAGCTGTGAGTGGAAGTGAAGTGTGTCACCTCAAGACAGAAGAATTGGGAACCATTGACACTGGCCACCCTCTCCTCCATCTCTTAGAGCAGTTGACAAGTTCCGCATGGAGGTTGCTCCTTTACCCTGTTGGTGGATGAGGGAATGTGAAGCACAAGGCCCAGCAGAGCCATCTTGGACGTGCAGCATGAGCAGGATAAGAACCTTCAGTGTTGTAAATTTCCATTGTCTGGGGCTGTTTGTTACTTACAGTGATATCTAGCCCATCGTAGCAGGCATGCACCATCTATTTCATGCTCCGTAAAGCAGACTAGCCTATCCTCCAAACATGACTGGTTGTCAGACACATGTAAGTTTCAGTTTCAGCTCTTCCTCTTATTGACTGCAACCTCGGGCATTTGACTTTGAGTCTCTGAGCCTCAGTTTTGTTTTTGTAAAATGGTTTGCTATGCTATCTCAGGTTGAGGAGAGAATTTAATGAAGTAAAAATGCATGTAAAGCATTGAGCCCAGGGCCTGGCACACACAGTGAGTACTCAATCAGTGTTAGCCATGTAGCTTCATAATGTGTATTCACTGTCAGTACTCAGAAAATGTAGCAAAGTATTACAAAGAAGGAAGTGCTAACTTTTTGGTGTATGTATCTCTTTGCACTTTATTTTCAAACAGACAGGATAATGCCATGTATACTTTTTCATAGTATTTTTTTCTCTTAATATGTGTTGAGATGTATGTTAAATATAAAAGAACTAAGTCATTATTTTAAATTGCAGGATTATATTCAATTTTATGAAAAGTTTATTTATTTCTCTATTGTTTGACTTTTTGTAGGTTGCACAAGGCATTGAATTAAAATAATCATATCAGAATGTATTGCATTTATAAAGATAAATACCATTCTATTAATTTTTGTTTGTTATATGTATGTATATATATTTTGAGTTGCAAAACAAAACATATTTCTTCCTATGAATCATGTTAGAAAAAGTTTGGAAGCTGCTGATTTGGATTTCTTTTTTAATTTTTACAGGATTATAAATAACCTTTTAAAAAATATCCTTGGGCACTTGACTGATTTTTGTCTTTAGGTTAATATGCCAGCAATGATTCCTTTTGGGTTTCTGACACAAGATAGCGATTTCCGTCCAAATAAATCAACTGTGCCATCCCATCCCTAAACGAAATTCCTTCTTCTGCAGAAGAAAAAACCAGTACTGTGACTGCCTAAGCTTCCTCCTGCATGGCCACCCTATGAGACATGGGGCAGGAGCACTGGGAGCTGTTCAGGGGCACCAGACCCCTTCCATCTGCCCTCACTCGCCTTCCTTGGGGACTTGCATGAGACTGTCACTGACTTTACATGCTGCTGCAGCACCTTGGTCAGCTGGTCCTTGTCACGGGACAGAAACTGTGGGGTCAGGACAATAAACACCTTCACCACCTGCAGAACGAGGGCAGAGGCTTACGGTGAGTGTCAACCTACTTCACAGCTTAAAGAGTCAATATTGGTCCAGTGCAGTGGCTCACACCTGTAATCCCAGCACTTTGGGAGGCTGAAGCAGACAGATCACTGGAAGTCAGGAGTTCGAGACCAGCTTGGCTAACATGGTAAAACCCCATCTCTACCAAAAATACAAAAATTGACTGGGTGTGGTGGTTCACACCTGTAGTCCCAGCTACTTGGGAGACTGAGGAGGGAGAATTGCTTGAGCCCAGGAGGCAGAGGTTGTATGAGCTGAGATCGTACCATTGCACTCCATCCTGGGCTACAAGAGTGAAATTCTGTCTCAAAAAAATAAAATAAAATAAAATAAAATAAAGTAAAATAACAATAAAATATAGAGAATTTCACCAAATACCTGGACTTTATTTTTTAAGGATTAAAAAGATATATAGAATTGAGAAAAATAACGGAAATTAAAAACCCAATAGATGGATTTAACAGCAAATTAGACAAAACAGAAGAGAGGATTAGAGAAGTGGAAGTTAGGTTAGTAGAAAACACTGAAATTGAAGATTAGAGAGAAAGAAAAAGATGGGAAACACAGGAAGGTTAACAAGAGACATGGAACATATCAGACAGGTCTAACTTGTGAGGAATTAGAGTGCCAGAACCAGGAAAGGAAGTGGAACAGTACCTCTATTTAAAGAGAAAATGGGGTTGGGTGCAGTGGCTCACCCCTGTAATCCCAGCACTTTGGGAGGCCGAGGTGGGCAGATCACTTAAGGTCAGGAGTTTGAGACCAGACTGGACCAGACTGAGACCAGTCTGTATCTCCTCCATAACAGGAGGTAGAATGCACCTCTACTAAAAATACAAAAATTATCCAGGCATGGTGGTGGGCGCCTGTAGTCCCAGCTACTCTGGAGGCTGAGGCAAGAGAATCGCTTGAACCTGGGAGGTGAAGGTTGCAGTGAGCCAAGATCGCACTACTGCACTCCAGTCTGGACGACAGAATGAGACTCTGTCTCAAAAAACATAAATAAATAGGCTGGGCACGGTGGCTCATGCCTGTTATCCCAATACTTTGGGAGGCCGAGGCGGGTAGATCATGAGGTCAGGAGATGGAGACCATCCTGGATAACACAGTGAAACCCCATCTCTAGTAAAAATACAAAAAATTAGCCAGGCGTGGTTGCGAGTGCCTATAGTCCCAGCTACTCAGGAGACTGAGGCAGGAGAATGGCGTGAACCTGGAAGGCGGAGCTTGCAGTGAGCCGAGATCACGCCACGGCACTCCAACCTGGGTGACAGAGCAAGACTCCATCTTTAAAAAATAAATAAATAAATAAATAAATAAATAAAAGTAAATTTTAAAAGAGAGAAAATGGTCCCCCACAAATCTCAAAACAAATAAAAGACATTAATTCACAGACAGGAATCTCTACAAATCCTAAGCAGGCAAATAGAAAAAAAAATAATGATTAAATTGCTAAAAAAAAAAAAAAAAAAGATAAAAGGAAACATTCAAAAGCAGCCAGAGAAAAAAAAGATATATTACTTTCAAAGAAACAACAATAAGTGGGAGAAGGACTTTTCATCAGAAGCTACAGAAGCCAGAACCCCATGGAATGACATTTTTCATATTGAAATGAAAAAAATCTGACGACATAGAATTCTACCTACTGAAATATACTTCAAAAATAGAAGTGTAGGGTTCTAGAAAATGGCAGCAATGGCGATGGTGTCGCTTTTAAATCTCCCCTCATCATCACATACCATCGGAGCAACTAGGTAACAAAACCAAAAACTCATGGGCAATAACGCAACTACATGATAAAATCCTAGCAGAGACAAAACAGGACTTCCAGCAAGACCTGTGAGGAAATGATGGGCTCTTCAATAAGTAGTACAGGAAAAACTGTTATCCTTATGGGGGAAAAGGGAAATCAGAGCTCTCCTCATACCATAGAAAAAATTCGATTTTGAATATCAATCACGAGAATTATTTTTTTTTTTTGAGACAGAGTCTCCCTCTGTCACCCAGGCTGGGGTGCAATGGTGCGATCTCAGCTCACTGCAACCTCTGCCTCCTGCATTCAAGTGATTCTCCTGCCTACGCCTCTCAAGTAGCTGGGTTTACAGGCGCACACTGCCACACCTGGCCAATTTTTGTATTTTTAGTGGAGACGATGTTTCACCATGTTGGCCAGGCTGGTCTTGAACTCCTGACCTCAAGTGATCCACCCCTCTCAGCCTCCCAAAGTGCTGGGATTACATGCATGAGCCACTGTGCCTGGCCTTCCAAGAGTGATTTTTTTAGGCTCAGAAAGTGAAATAAATACAGAAAAATGCTGATTAATATAACTATTGTGTTTGTTTGCTAGTGCTACACAACCAATCCTCAAATTTAGCAACTTAAAGCCATCTGTTAGCTTGTGGATCTGAAGGCCAGAGGCCCAGGCGTGGTGTGGTTGGGCTTTCCGCTTGGGGTCTTGCCAGCTTCAATCAAGGTGCCGGCAGGGTTGTGTTCTCACCTGGAGCCCTGAGTCCTCTTTCATGCTCACATGCTCATGGCAGGTTCATCTCCCTAAAGTTGTAGGATGGAGGTCTCTGGGTCCTAGTCTGGGTCCTTGTCGGCTATCAGGCAGGACCTGCTCTTAGTTCATGGAGGGCATCTGCACGTAGCCTCCTCCATCTTCAAAGTCAGCCTTGGCCAGGCACAGTGACTCACTCACAGTCTGTAATCCCAGCACTTTGGGAGGCCAAGACCTCCCAAAAGGGAGAGAGTCTCATTGTTGAACTCCCACTTATGAGTGAGAACGTGCGGTGTTTGGTTTTCTGTTCTTGTGATAGATTGCTGAGAATGATGGTTTCCAGCTGCATCCATGTCCCAACTTGGTGATTCTGATGCCTACTAAACTTTAAGGCATTGTGACGTAGAAAAGAATAACTGTGTATGGCCCCACACGCATTACTTTGTTGTTGTGGTTTTCAGATGGCGTCTTCCTTTGTCACCCAGGCTAGAGTGCAGTGGCACAATACCAGCTCACTGCAACACCACTCACTGCAACCTTCACCTCCCAGGTTCAAGCAATTCTCTCTACTGAAAATACAAACATTAGCCGGGCGTGGTGGCAGGCGCCTGTAGTCCAGCTACTCGGGGGGGTGAGCAGGAGGAATGGCATGAACCCAGGAGGCGGACTTGCAGTGAGCCGAGATGGTGCCACTGCACTCCAGCCCAGGGACAGAGCCAGACTCCGTCTCAAAAAAAATTAGACAGGTGTGGTGCACGCCTGCAGTCCCAGCTACTCAGGAGGCTGAGGCAGGAAA